AGAACAGATGGAATCATGTCAGACATCTCATTACTATTTTAAACAAGCTTTACAGTTACTGTCTAGACCGCCGACTACAAAAGTGACCCCGTTTACCCAGAAGAGGTGCAAGAACGGAAAAGCACGACTAGTTCAGTAACCTGAAGCAGCACTTTGGTGGTGTACAGGCTCCCCCAGCAGCCAGCCCTCCTGCTCATGGACCAGAAGGATCCCACGGCTCTGTGTCAGGATTTATCCGGCCCCTCCTATTGTGCTATTTGTAAGGCACAGGACAGAGGCAGAAAGGAAGGACTGCATCCCCCGGATACTCCTTTTGACCTCACTAGAAAGATATTGCATCAAAACTCTGTGGAGGGACCTAAAGGGACAATTTAACTGAAACCTTGTGGCTAGAATATCCACTGTGGCTGTGTCAGGACAGCACACTCCTCACTTCAAACATCTGGGAGGCAGGAGGAAAAATACCTACCAACAGGTAGGAACCAGAGTGGAAGGGTGGAAAAATACACGCACAAAATCCAGGGAAAAGGAGTCGAGATAGCTTTAGAGGGAAGCTGAGGGAGAGCGTTGGAAGTTGAAGACCTCTCCAGACAACCCCAGCGAGCATACAGAGCGCCCCTGACAACAAGAGGAACCCCCTCAACACAAGAGCCCAGCTATAAACCTCTCCTTGCTGCAAAGGAGCACCTATCGCAGAGCCACACTAAACCCACCGCTCAAGTTTTCCCTCATACTACGTGCGATTAAAAGGCACCCTAAAAAGTGCCAATAAACATCTTGTGGCTAAGATAAATCCACTTACCACCCGGATTCTGTGTCCAATGGCCTTGGCAGGAAGGTTGGAGCGGAACTTGGCACGAACCATGCCACTGTTCCCATGGGCACGCGTTACCTTCCCCCAGATCACTCGTGTCCTGTTGGGCTTGCCACCGGGGGTTACCGTGTTGCTGAGGGAAGAGAGGAGGAGAACCACTGAGCACAGCTTGTACAGGACCCAGCAGCGACGGGGCAGGCAATGGAGCCTCTTCGCAGCACTTCTACCATCTGT